CTGGCATGCTCCCTTCACCGGACTCATGCTGCACTGTTTGGCGGATAGTTCTTCAAATTTCAAATTTGAACCATCCAACCCAAAATTCAAAGTTCAAGTTATCTTGCTCTTGATCTTCTGGATAACTATAAGAAAATTTTTTGAATAGAAATCGTAATTCTCTCGTAATGTTTAGCTCTGTTACCAAATTGATACGTTCCATATGTGATGATCGTGTTATGGGTCGAGTATAAAATCGGTATGCACAGATACATTTTTGTTCTATTTTTTCCTGTCTTTCCCTATTTTTATGATTGATATGTAGGTCTTGTTGGACACAGAGAAACCTATGATTTCTAGAGTTAGAACATATTTTTCATTAACATAAATTCTACCATATCCTCTTATCCTCATCCACAGCACAAATTAGAAAATGAGGCAGTTAATTCTGGAATTAGAATTCCAGAATTGTCTAAACTCCCATTGTCTTCCTTTTGACTTATTCCTTACTCCGAATAAAAACATAATACTTATTTTCACGCTCATATAACTGTTACACATAATAAACACTACTGGTGACTCTTCCTTTATCTGCCTCCTTTGTGCTACTGTTGTATTTTTACCAAGGTGGGATCATAATGGTTCTCTACTATTTCCAAATGATCATATGTTGTCAGAAAGGTTTCTGTTCTGACTGCTTGATTTTTCCTCGCAATAACAGGAGGGGATGGAAGAGAAACACTGGTTGAAACCATCTATATGTTTGCCAGAAGATAAATTTTTTTTCAAAATCAATCTCTCTAAGAACAAATGAAGTTTGATTAAATTTGTTGAAGAGAATAGAGCAGAAAGAAATGGAACTTCTTTTGCAAAAGGAAGAAGCCAGATCTGATCTCTTAAGACTACAAAAGAGGCTATGTAGTAGCGACAATTGTAAAAACACCAGCTAGGTATTTAAGACAGTCATGTACTTAACTTTGACCACACATTTTCATTAAGTTGTCATGACCAAAGAAAAATACCAAAGTAGTATCTAGAAAAGGTGTCATATCTTCAATAATTATTTATACATTTAGAGTACGCCACTTTCTGTGGATCAATGATTCCTGGTAGTTCGAATCCATCCATGCAGTGAGCACTGGCTTCTCTTGTCAGGGAAATTCGACCATATTTTGGAGGTACAAAGGTATCTTCACATGTACCATGAGATAGAATTCGTCAATTAATTGTGCTCTTTTCATTTTCAGATGGTTAAGATTCTTTATTTCGTAATCTAAGGCCTGAAAATGGGGATAATAGCACCTAATGTTGCTAAAAACACAAGATTCTAGGAATCCTAGTCATGTCTTTCCATCATATGGAATGAGCAATCCATTAACTAATGTGGGTCTTTTTATGTTAAATGAAGTAATATACGGATTTAAACTCTTTGGCAGTTGGCTCCATTTGGTGCTAGCCATTCTCCTGTTTAATAGCCAAATATGTCTTTAGGCTTTTAGATGGTTACTTTAAAATTGGATTACCTTCAGATTTCAGTCTCAATATTCTCATTCAGAGCTTTGGTTTAAACTATGTTAGTATCCTCTGTGCCACTGCAAAACAAGCAGCTGCAGTTAAAAGCCAACTGCAGCAGATAGCCAGGGCAATGTATAGCAGTCCTCCGATTCATGGTGTGTTGCTGGTCTCCACAATTTTGAACGACCAAAATCTGAAGGCACTTTGGGTCAATGAAATTCAGGTACTAATGATTTCTTGATACTATTATACATATATAAAATATATATCTTTCACCTCCCATGTCAAGGTGGATTCCGATGTTCATTTTGTACAATAAAAGGTCATGGCCAACCGCATTCGGAGAATGAGAACCTCTCTCAGACAAGTTCTTGAGAAATTGGGTTCTTTGCTCAACTGGGAGCACATAACTAATCAGGTTGGTAATTTATTTCGAAAGTTCAGAAATGCAGTCTGAAGCTATCCTCACAACCAGCTAAGATGTTGAGCTCCCAAAACTGCAGGTTGGTATGTTTGCTTCACTGGGTCTAATCCCTGATCAAGTAGATTACTTGCAGAGGGAATTTCATATATACATGACCGATGATGGACGTATAAGGTAAAACATATACCAGAAAGCAAGAAAAATCGTAGTTTCTTTCTTGCATTTATTGCATTTTTGTTTTGTTTCTTCGTTCTTCGGGTATTTATTGATGAAAGTCGAATTTATGCCAACACATGGCTATTCTAAAATGTTATCTATATGTCGATACAAGCAGCGTGGCAGGTGTTACTCCGAGCAATGTGAGTTACTTAGCAAATGCAATACATGAAGTCACAAAACCTTATCAAAATTCAAGTAGTCTCCATTACTATCGGTCTTTGGAGGCTTATACTTGATGTTTATATTAAAAAATGTGAAGGCCAAACTTCTGTTGATGATCCTGTAACTAGAAACATTCTTTGGTGAAGAGTTGAAGATACAATAAGACAAAATCGTTTATTTTTGCACATGATATCGACATTATCATGTACTTTGTTCTTATAAAACTGAACTGGTTCCTAACCAAGGATGGTGAAGCTTCATGTGCAAATTCAAAATGTTTATTAATAATTGATTTGAAGTGAATTAAGATGATTTAATCGTTCGTGGTCTGACTGTTTACTGTTTCACTATCGGTGAACTTCTTTGGGACCATTCAGTTCGTGTAATTTGTTTTCAATTTTACATAAATTTACAAATCTTTTTAGATCACTTGTTGTTATTCATATTTTTTTTAATGTTTAGCTTTTCTAGCCTTGAACTACATTTTTTACAAGTATAAAAATTTGTTCCATGTTATTGAAAGACTAATAGAATGTTGTGAAAGTAGTAAATTACAGTTAGTGAAATTAAAAGTATAACAGTTAGTTAAACTAAACCACACCTTAGTAAATTCAACCTTATCTTTAAATTAGTTTAATTATAAAATGTTTTGTTCGTGATGACCATCAAGGGCACGAATGTAATTTTGGATTCAGTTTGAATAATATCAATTTTCTAGTATTTAATTAGTGATATTTAGTTAATCATGTGAATACAAAATTTTTCATCTTTCACCACATTTGTTTGCAGGGTTATATAACATATAATCATAGGATATAATATTATTATTATTTTACTGAAAATAATGAATCATTAGCTGTAACTTTCATAACTATTTTGAGTTATAACAATCTATTAATATGGTAATAGCATATGTAAATAAACTCAACATCTTAATGTTAAAGAATAATCTTGTTACATATAAATTAATTAAGATTGAACCAAGTAAAAAAGAACTAGTGAGTGTGTTGCTTTCATGTGACTATTGCTTAACATGTGTATTAATTATATGAAAAAAAATCTACTAGTTTGAGTCAAAGTAGTGTGCTTGTTCTTGTCATAAGCACTTATTCAATGAGTACCACAATATTGATTATACAAATATTCAATAAGATCAAATGGCTTCTTGTGAATGGTATTCTATATGCTAGTTTATCTTGGCTAATAATTTAGTTATATTTTAATTTATGGAACTTCATAAATTGTATTTAAGTCTTATTATTATAATGCAATTATAATCATATTTGTTAGCAGTTTAATGAACACTTATTGTTGAGAGTTTGTAATAATATAATAAAATTGTATATTTGTCTTTTATTAATAAAATAATAATTACAATATCTTTTAAATTAAATAATAATTTACCCTTAATGTTATTATTAAAAATATGAAGCTTTTTTAGCATAAGAGATATTTTCTATACATATAATATGCATGCAACTAAAATAGTCAAAATTTTAACCCCATATCTGGCGAACATTGAACAAAGATATTTTCTGTGAAATTTTGAATTTTTGGCATATGAAATTTAATTATTAAAAAGGTTTTCCATGCCATCAACAGGTATAGGAACTTCAAAAAAAAAAAAAAAGGTTCTAGCAAAAAGGCCTGCTCAGAAGCTTTTTTTTTAACGGCCGTTTGAAATTTGATTTGCACTTCCATTCTGGACCCCACAAAAGGGTAAAAGTAAAAAGAAAAAAAAATTACTTCC